CCACCCCCCCTTCCCCAACATTAGTCCAAGTCTGTGCTACACACAGGGGACATTGAAGGAGCGAGGAAATATGGACGTCGGTCTATGGTGCTCAGCAGTCTGGCAATTCTGCTGGGTGTGGCTGTCATCATATTCATAGTGTTTACACTAGGTATGAACGACACACACACACACACAGAGAGAGAGAGAGAGAGACATGCTTTAAAAAATAAAACACATTGTGACAACAATTTTCTGTCCTTTCTTTTTCGTCAGAGCTGCAGCAGTGACGCGGGGACACGGATGAAGCCGAGCCACAGTCTCCTTTAACTTCACCTCATCTCCAAAGTTTGCACAAGAGGTAGATGATGATGATGAGGAGGAGGAAGAGGAGGAGGAGGAGAGGCATCAGTGTAAAGACAGGAAGAGGGAAGAAAAGCACAAAAATCGGAGAGTGGAGAACAAGACAAACACACTCTTGACTTGTTGCTTTTTTTTTCTGCTGCTGCGAAACAAAGGAAAAGAGAAAAAGAAATCACAGGTCCATTTACTCCGTGTCTGGCTTCACTCACGCCCATTACACACCGCACAAACTCAGGAACAAAAGGACGGGAAGAGATGTACGGCCTGTTGTTATGTCTGTCTATCACCAGACGGGAAGAAAGTCTAACTAACTCATCGGTGCACTGATGCTCACGCTCCTGTCTGACATAGAGGCCATAGAGAGGTTCAAAAACATAACAAAAAAAAAAAGATTGTCTAATAAAAGGCTAAAAAAAAAATCAAAAATAACACACATTTATAGCTGGATCAACAACAGATGAAAAAAAAAAAACTCTTGGACCTCAGTGCATCTTTAGACTGTGTGAGAAATGTACGCCGCCTTCTGGTGGTCAAAAAAAAATGAAGCCATGGGAATTATTTGAAAGGCTGCTCTCCATGAAAGGAAGTAGTAAAAAAAAAAAAGACAAAAAACTGTCCTTCATCACGGCCAGACTCAGTACTGCAGGTTCTTTTCAGGTATTCGTCCACCATTGTATCTCTTACTTTTGTACCGATGATGAGGAGGTTGGTAGAGTTTACTGTTAAAAAACTAAATCCCCTTCACTCAGCTATTAGGCTGTGGAAGTCTAGAACTGAGTGAGTCGCATTCAGTAGGATTTACTGACTGGTCAAGACAGTGAGACTTCATTTCAGGCTGGTATATCCTCGGAGCAGCAGTCGGAGCTCTGGTATTTTTGGTCAAACTAGTTGAAGTTGACAGTCAGCTAGGTTCAGGATCTTCAGTAGGATGTGACTGGATTTGAGGGGTTCAAGGTTGACAGTGTCCACAGCCATCAGTGTCCTCCTTCCTGTGTTATTGTGTATTTTCACCTAAATGGAATTGGCCTTACTAGTTGTTGAAAGTCAGGAAAATGTTTGTTACCTTCATGAATCAGGTCCGAACCGGCCTCAGTTTTCAAGCTACTCATGGAGAGTTACTTAGTCCGAGGCTGTTGACGCTCACCTGAAGGCGGCGTACATTTCTGGTATGCGGTCCGTACGGGCCCACCCGCAGTCGCGCCCTGTTTTGATGTCTCCACTTTTGAACTGTAGCGAGTTTTCTTATGTATTTTGCACGGAGCAGTCTGTGGCTGTGGCGAGATTTTAAGCTGATTTCATACACTGTTTACATCACCTGGACAATGAGAAAAACAAACAAACAAAACAACATGTACAACAAAAAAACATCAAGCTGCAGTCGCCGTCTATCTCGCTTTGCGTGCTACTATGAAAAAAAAAAAATGAATATAAGAAAAAAGGAACCAGCCCCCATTAGACTGAACTGCCTGGACCTGTACACACCCTCTTTACAATATACTGCAAGACATGGTTGGGTTGGGTAGGGGGCTCAGGCAGGGGAGGGGTGAAGAGGTCTGGGGTCTGGGGCGGGGGGTTCGTTTCTTCTCACCCTCCTCCTCCACGATGAATGCACTGTTCTTGGCACTCTGATGTTGATGTTTATACATTTATACTGTATGACTGGTTTACTGTGCCATAGTTCTGCATGTCTGAAATAAACTTGAATGAGCATGACCAAAGGTAAGAGTCTGAGCTCATTGTCTTTGTTAAACAGGCGCCGCATCGAGTAACAAAAAAAGAATGATGTCATCATTGCTTGACAAAATTACTCAGACGTGGAATTTAACAGATTTAAGACTCAAATGTAAATTTGCAGCTAGATATATATGTATAAAAGAATTAGTTCCACTCATAGAATTTATGTAAATATGTACAGTAAATGTAAGAAAGTAAAACGAGTCTCACGATGAGTTATAACGATCATAACATGACTGTTATATATGCAAATGTTGGTGTATAAATATAAATGTAGATATATATATATATAAATATATAGTGTATAAGTGTAGAGCAACAGGCGTACGGTGCAGACCCTGACCCCCCCCACCCCCCGCCCAAGATTAAAGAGTCACGCTCTCTTGCGCACATCGATCTTCAGGATGAAGCCGTTGATGGCAGGGAGACGATGTGAGGGGCGGAGAAGTGTGGCCAAGGAAAAATAATTAAGGTCCAAGTTGAGTCTCCTTTTCCTTGCAATGAGTGGGAGGCAGAGAGCAGGAGGGAAAATACATCAGCGGGCAAGCCGTGGGGGGGTTAGGTGAGGGTGGGGGCAGAATAAATGGAGCCTAATGGTATAGTCTACTGTGTCATGCAAGCTTTCACTGTAAGTGAGGTGATGCTATCCCAGCTCAGCATCACTATGCACAGTGGTTAGCTCAGCCCAGATGCAACACGACACCAGAAATGGACTGCTCTGGACTCTGGACGTCCGGCTGTTCACACAGCACTGTACACGTCCTGACCATTCATTCATTCATTCATTCATCCAGTGTGATCACAGTTAGAAGTGTTAGAAGACTGAGACCATGTTAAAACACATGGTCAATTCTGTAAAAAAAAAAAACTCTCCTCTTTTTCCTGCAGACATCTGTCGCCCCCTGGTGACGTACAGATATTTTAGAGACCTCTGAACCTCTGAATTTTAAACTCAGTGCTCAGACTGACCACAGCGTCTGCCTCTGTACCCACCACACACGACAGTTAGGCTGACTGACCGCAGATGACGCTGTGGATGGACTTAATGTCATTACTGCACTCATGTTGAGTGCAATATGTTAATTGGGACAAGCCCCGCCCACATATTGGTGGTGTCGGTCAGATTTTTTTGTTTTTGTTTCTGGTGTAAAAGAAAAAGGCTTCTGGTTAGCCACGCCCACCATAGTTCACATTAGCAGAAAGCATTTTTATTTAGACATAAATGCCCTGAGTGGAGGTTCATCTATGTAACTGAGCTGCTTTCTTACATTATTTACCTACTTATTATAACTAATGACTAAGGACAAAAAATAACCTTCATTTACAAAAGGATACTGGTCAAAGTTGTGACTCTGGTGTAAGTGGACTTCAACATCCACTGGTGAAACAAGATACTGTCTTTGGTTGGCTGTTGCAATTCTGGAGGCAGATGAGGAGGAAGGAGGAAAAAAGGGAGAGTGAGAAAGGGAGAGAGAGAGAGAGACAGAGAGAGAGCAACGAGGGATTAGGTGAGGCACACAGTTGGCGTGGCAGCATCACATTACATGGGCTTTAATGTTTTGGCAGAGAAGCTGAAAGTAGGAAGTTATGATGGGCTGTTTTAATAGACCTGAATGTGCTGTGTATGCTGATGTGTGTGTGAGTGTGTGTGTGTGTGAGTGCACGTGTGCTATACTGAGTGGGTGAGAGTAAATGGGTGGGAGGAGAGTGAATGCGGTAATAAAGCTTACCTTACTGCATGGTCAATAAGACCCTCAGAGCTGAGAAGAAAAGAGAAGAGAAACAAAAATGAAGATCTCACAGCCTTTAAGATCCAATGATGAATCCTTTTTAATAATCAACATTTTTTTAGCTAGACTCCAAGTGACCACATCCAACATGGGCGTGACTGGGCCACTTACAGCAATTTGATATACTGTATATTATTATTATTATGGAGGAGTGGAAGGGAGAGCCTGGCTAACACGCTAATGGTAACAGATGTCATTTTAGTGCCACAAGTTCAACCACAGTTTGAGGCTGCAAAAAAATCAATATATATATATGTATACATATATATATATATATATATCATTGCAACCTGTTTTTTTACTTTTTAATTATAACACCTATCAAATGATTTTAATCAGATAAGCTATGGATTACTTTCAAATAATCACGATAAATCGAGATATAAATATGCATTTGATCAAGGACAAAGAACTTTATAGAGCAAAAAAAAAAATCACACCAGCCAGACTACAAGTATTCGCAGCCACAATAGTCGTGGCAGCCACTTTGGCTTGAGCACTTGTATCAAGTGTATTAATGCTTATAAGTTGAGGGTTAGCAGCCATTTAGCTCAGGGCTGAGCAGAGCACATATCAGTAGCAAGTGAGCATCCTGGAGACAGAGTAATCAATACTTCCTTTTTTATACTTCCTTCAACTTTCTGTTCCCTGCTTCACAGTCTGCTGTTTGATAATAAATGCAGAGCAGACTGAAAAAAAACTAATATTCATCACTGCACAGTTCTCTGAGGCAGCAGTGGTGTGGAGACTGGAACGACAGATTCTATCAACATTTGAAATGAATCTCCTCATATGTCGACATCATTGTTCTCGAATACTACATGATGTAAAAAGATCTTCTTTTTTTACACTTATCAGGTCCTATTCAGCCCAAATATCAAAGAGAAATTAATAAAATACATGCCATACAAGAGTTTGTGTCCTAGGAGGTCAAAGGAATTCATGTCAGTCACCATAGAAACCAAACGTCTTCCTGGTAACAACTGTATTCTATGATCAGTGTCATGTTTTTTTTTTTGTTAATTTCATCAGATGTTATCTCAGCAAAACATGTTGACAATTTACAGTAAGTGACGGAGGGACATCGATGGTCTGTGCCAAGTGTTTAGGTCCAAGGAAGACCAGGTTCAGTGCTGTCACAGAGAGATGAGTGTACGTGGGCACAGAGAAGACAAATCCTCTGTTAGTATAAGACAGCTTCTCTTCTGCCACATGTGATAAGAAACCAAACTTCTTCCTGGTTAAATTTCATCATGTTATCTCAAAATATTATGTTATCTCAGCAAAACTTGTTGACAATTTACAGTAAGTGACGGAGGGACATCAATGGTCTGTGCCAAGTGTTTAGGTCCAAGGAAGTCCAGGTGTCTTTATCACAAAAACATGACCAGAAAAGTGTATAAAAGCAGATCCATGTCCATCTCAGATCAACGCGCTCGGCTCTCGACACTCGACGGACGACTGCAGCTACAGGTTGGTGTGTGTCTCATCACAAAGACTGTCTGGACATTTGTCCACTTTTGGATCTTTCCATCAAAATCATTGTTTGACATTTTTGTCTAGATTTGTTAGGACTCACTGGCGTTCCAGCAAGAACCATGTCCAGCCAAAAGGGATGCAAACCAGGTGAGTTTGTTTTGACCACTGTCCAGGTGCTACAGGTCGAGTGTGTCTGTGATTTCATGTGAGTTTCACTAACAGCCTTGTCAATCACAGACAACCCCGACCACTGTGATGACAAACCTGTCCACTGTGATGACAGCGACAAACCTGTCCACTGTGGATGACAAACCTGTCCACTGTGATGACAAACCTGTCCACTGTGATGACAAACCTGTCCACTGTGATGACAGCAGCAAACATGTTGGGGACAAGACAAACTCAGGAACAAGTTCTGGGGATGTTGGAGGTTCAGGTGAGCTGTTTCACTCACTACTGAGAATAAGTGACTGGTTTGTTTCTGATTAATTTCTTCTGTTAAACTAAACTAAATCCATATCTCAGGAGGTGGAATAAACATTGGAAATGTTACTAATGCGGACGACCTCAACATTTCCAACAACTGAGGACATGGATGTGGAGAGTGACAGAGAACTTAGGTAAGATCAGTGTACAAACTGTTTTTCTCCTAAAGGACAATGAAACATTTCTCATGGATCTCATCACGTAACGCTCACTAACTTTCACCTTTCTTCATTTCAGAAAAACTTCCATCCAATACTATTATGAATTATATTATGAGGACAACATGAATGCAGATGTGAACGTAGGAAACATCAGCAACAGCAACATTGGCAACAATTCGGGAAACTTTGAAATCAGAAATAACATGACAAACATTTCAAGAACAAAAAATGCTTGGCTTTGAATAAATACATTTGCCAAAAAAAAAAAAGTCTCACTCATTATCTCTATTTTCACGGAAACTTTCTTTGGACCAGTGACAAACAGTTCTCTATAAATGAGGCAGTATGTGGACCCTGAACCAAAATTAGTTTGACACCCTTGATTTAAATGTATTTTTTAATTTTTGGTTCAATATTTGTTTTCAACTTAAAAGGTTATTTATGAAAAACCTTCAGTCAATGTCAAAAACTCCCCATCTATCAACTACATGAGCTCTCAGAAGTACAAAGCTCCAGCATTAGCACACAGTTACGATGGACCTGAGGTGCACTTAAAATGAACGCACCACAGCTAATGTTGTGATTTTTTTTTTATCAATTTCACTGTCTTTGTCTTTGAAAACCTTCAATGCTTTTAACACACTGTTGACAAAGTAGAAGAAAAACTGTATTTAGGGTCAGCTATGACAAAGATAATCTGGTTTACCAAACATCAATTCTGGTAAACAGTGGGAGGGAAAAAATGAATATAATGAATAGCTCTTTTGTGAATCTCAAGTACAGCAGAGATAAGCAATAATGGCCTAGCAAAAAAATGTGGTGGTAATAAAAGTGATTTCTGTTTCTGCAGCGTTAGTGTTAACAACTCAAAGTCCTGGAAACTTGAATAGTAACTGGCTGTAACCAGCTGACTGAGTGAGAACTAAATTGATGTTATTCATCAGTTTTTTCCCCCCCTTTTAATTGGAACTTGGCAACCCACCATTATTGATGCCACAACGCTGATGATGTACTTCCTGTGTTAAGGCTTTCAAGTGATTAGCTCTGCTGAAGGCACAGCTCTGTCCTCCCGACTCTTATTTACACTCCCTGTTTGGACTGATGATCTATTCATCATCCATTATCGCTTCTGCACCATCGCCCCACAACTGCCCCTGCCTCCACATATCTCATTTCTATTGAGAAAATTAAAATGTACTTTCATCACACACACACACACACACACACACCCCAACTGTCTGTGTGATCTTTTCTCTTTTACTCTCCTTGTCCTTCCCTGACAGACAGTTTCTCTGCGTCAGACAGAACACTCTCACTCTGCTCGGCTAAATGAAAGCCTTGCGGTTTGATTTACTGTAGAAGGCACTTATGAAAGATACCCCCAGAGAAAACAGGAAGAATCACACAGAGTGAGGGAGAGGGAGGCAAGAGGGAGGCCATGCCTTGTTTGGTGGGGTGCACCATTATAGGGGGAAGGACAGATCATTAATGGGTGAGAAAGTTCAACAAAGAAAATTGACAATGTTGCCTCCTATTGGTAAAAAAAAAAGAAGTCACATCCTTAATAAAAGACAATACAAAGGAGGAGAAGAGGACAGAAAAAAACACTGATTCCAAAATAAACAGGAGATAATAAACACAAAAGAGGTAAGAGACTCTATTCTACTCTCTTGGACACCCTATTGGCTGACTGTGGTAATACACTTTAGTAAAGTTGGAGAATCAAAGAATGAGAATCAGAGAGGTTATTTATCCTTATTGTGGTTGTTGGTAACACAGCTGCTCCTGAAAGAGCATTACAAAAAGACAAATGTACTGAAGTGTGAGAAATATTAAATTGTTTTTGGAGATCCCAAGAAGAGACAAGGAGAGAATAAAAACCATAATGACTATGTCAAGGTCTAAGTTTGAATGTGAACATTGCAGGATTATTTCACTCACAAAAAAAACTCAGTGGAATTAAAAACACTAGTTAGTAAAAAAAAGAAAAGAAAATTGTACAGTGACCCAAATATCCAGATGCAGATTAAATTCATATAATACCAAAAAAAACAGAATACACTATAGCAATACAAATTGCTATTATTCTAAGAGTCATGTTTCCCAAAGAGTTTACTTTAACTTTTATTGACTAAAAAAAAGGGTCATATACTGTATTTATAGCTGTGATTAGTTTTTATCGATAACTCTAATAAAGACAGTGTGGTCTTTATAGGGGGCATTAAACACAAACGTTTTTATTACTTTTGCCTGTAGTTATTATACGTAAGTCTCCAAGTGCTACAAAAAAAAACTTTTAAAAAAACTGTATTGAAAGGGTGAACAACATTTATCGTAACTGTACCACGGCAACCGGCGACTAGCTTTGATTTATGAATCCGACCGTTAGAGTGAGACGATAATACGCTTTCCTAATGCCAATAACAGGTTAGCAAACAAGTTAGCACCACAACACCTTAAGTTACCTGATAACCACTGACGTGGCGCACAACTTAAGACGTTAACCTGTTTAATT